CACACGAGTTTTAATCTTCAGAGTTCAAGTAGGGGGCTCGGGTAGAGATACGCATATGTAGACCCACGGATTGCTAGTTTTAAACTTTTGAAAATCGGGAGAAGAAATGGATTAATTTTGCTATTCGCAGAAGAGGTTCTACTTCGTTTCCATGGTCCAGTTTCAAGAAAAATACCACGTGATAAGAGATCCTCTGTCTCTGTCTGTCTTGCTAGTGGGGGAATGGAGAACGAACTGTTGACATGTTTTCTTCAGTACACAAAGAAACTTAGATCGCCTCAACGAGATGGGTTCCACAGACACCCCCAGAGCGTTTCTTATTACCCAAGTGACGAAGTAACAGCTGTTGTTCTTCGAAAGGCAGATGGTCCATACACTCGTCCCATAGACGCTGCATCATCTTCGCATTCGATCCTTCTGAAGGCGAGTATTCAAATGTTTCAGTACACGCAGCTACGAATGTGTTAGGCATCGGTCGGAATTATTTTTTATTTTCCTCCTCGTCTGGTCCGATTGTGCGGTCCCACGTCTCAGGTAACAGCGATTTAGCGCCGTATAAGATGAGGTGGTCTAGGCAACACGGAGTTTTCCTCCGGGGGCTTCCCCGGTTTCTCTGTGGCATCCCAACAATTACTCCATTTACACACAGAAGAAGGCAATGGCAAACCGCTTCTGGATCATCTGCCAAGAACGTATATGAACAGGTCCCAGTCCGAGAAAAGGATGGAAGGATCCTGTTCATATGGACCTGTCGTCAGACAGAACACTAAATAAAAAAAAGTCTATTACAGAAGGGCATTGTGTGAATTATAGCTTGAAGTACGGCCCACTTAATCATGCTGTGATACAGCGAACACACGAACTGTAATCACTGGCTATTAATCATTCATAATCGTCGTGTCACCACTGAAAATGTCTGATACAGTGTATTAAATTTATCAGAGCATGGCATCTACCGCTGGCAGTGTATTATGATGGACGGCGTAGTGCATCTTGTACTGAACAATAAGGCAATGGTAGGAACGCTGACCTTCAGGTCCTGACCTCCCCTTTTCAGCTGTCTTTCGTAATGATACGATGATTGTCAGACGATTAGACAGTTCCGTCGTTCTGCAGTGCAGATTTGAGATGTGCGACACAAATGTTTGCCTCTGTAAAGATGACATCTTTCAGGGATATTGCGTCGTGGTCGTGTACGGACTGACTCCATCATCAGGGCGATGGGGCAGTACGCTCCTCTGAAACGTCGGCCAGCTTCTACGACACTAAACTCTGTCCCAGAAGGCTGTCATGATCATACTCCTGTCCTCGTGCTGATATTTCGTCGAGAGATTGTTTTGTAGTGATGACGTCGTGAGTGTAACCTGGGCGTTTCTAAAATAAATTTTTGCCTGAGAAGTGCAGAAATTCTGTTTGTCGGGAATTAGTTTTTGTACTGTGTGGTTATGGAACAAATATATCGAACGATAAAATTGATTTGAGAGCGCGTAAGCTTATTAACGACATGACGATTTAGAGTGGAACCTCCTTCCAGATGGTGACCACGCTGGTTATTCCCGCCAAGTCCTGAATGACGTTAGAACAAATTATAGCGATCTGGTTTTGCCGGTTGAATATTTTCCTCGAGTCTTACGTGGGAGTCTTGCTTGAAGAACTACGTTTCTTCGTGTTGAGTAAAAGACGTGTTTGCATCCATTGGCTGTTAAAGTATTGTGTTGAGGGAAACTTAAGACGTTCTCTGCTATTGTAGTAGTCGGCGATGAAGATATTTTAGCGGTATTTTTTTTTTAATATCCACGTGGGAGTGAGTCACTTCTGTAAATGGTTCCGTTACGCTGGATATGGCCACATCGAGTTGCGTGCTTATCCAAATATATGATCAGAATATCGGCATCGTACTTTTGGTTCGGTCAAGGTTTTGAAGGTTTAACCTTGTTGTCGGGGGGGTTCTGAAACTCCTTCATGGTCGAGGACCCGTCTGTGTGTGTGAGCGCTCCTTTGCCAGTTCCAGTCCATATTAGGCCACGTTTCTCCAAGAGTTATCAGCATTTCTCACAGCTTGCTTGAAACTCGCAGTTCGCGCAAGACCACCGACAGTTTTATCCAGGATAAGTTGTCTGACAATTGAGTTTGGCGCCTTTTTTTGTGTTCGGCTCGCAATTTTCTTGTCTCATGCCGAGTCTGTCCTCCTACTTGGTCATCCTACACATGGACCATGACTAAATAAGGTCGTCTTCAGATGTGTAATACACTCTCGACGTCCCTTTCACTCCCAGTCCATTCTGGCTTTCCCTCTCTTTTATACAAACGCCTCCACGTGACTTGCCTACTCGTGCAAAATCATCTCGCAGTCTTGGACGTTGCTACGTGGTTCAGTCGTGTGCATGTGTTGGTCGCTGGATTACGACGTGTGGCTTGGAGGGCAGCGTATTCTTGGCTTGAAACGTCATCACTCGCTGTCGGCGCCGTGTGGACGAGCTGACATGTTTGTTCTGTGCTGAATGAACACAGCATGGGGAGATCTTTCTCAGGGTCGGTATAGTGGCGTGTTTTTAATTAAATGAGTGTGTGTGTGTGTGGATGCGGCGTTGAGGGTGTTTTGCTTCATGGTTAAAATAAAATCTGTTACGTGTAAGATCTGTATCGACAGTCAGAAATCGATATTTCTCGTTTCAGAGGCCTGCGTGTTTCAGTCATGGACGGAAAATCGTAAATCTTTGTTACTATATGCTTAAATCCCGGTGATATTCCTGTCCGGCGTCGGAAATACTCGCCAGTCGCATATTTTATTCATCCCAGAAACAAACCTGTCATCTTTTTAGGATTTATATCGCGTAAATACGCGTTGACTTGATGGATATACATATTGTCGAATGTTCAACTATCGATTTTGTTTTCGATCGGAGTTGGAGGAACTGATTCTGGATAGTGGTCTGACTGCATCCATTCCAGTTGTCCATTTTAGGAAACAGCGGTCGTGTGAGACCGAGCCATCGTGTTTCAAGGTGATGTATGTACGTACGGACTACGCGAATGTGTCCGTCCGTCCGTCTGTGTCGTGAGCGGCTCGGCGCGAAGCTCTGGTGTTTTGTTAGTGAGGGGTGCTGGGACCATGCAGTTTGTTACCTCGTAATCGTGCGATGTGCCGTGTAGTGAGGGTATAAACATCGGAGCCATCGCCACAGTGGATTGTATTTATGAGCGTATCGCACGGGTGTGAAGATCGTGTTTCCAGGTAACGTCTGCGTAATTTAAGGTTTGTTGTTCGTCACACATGTGAGTATTTTTCGCTACGCTAATGGCGCGTGAGCATTTATCACTGCCGGGGCCAACTTCAGGGCCACGTTTT